GCTCCAAGGTTTCGCCTGGTGCTGACACGTGGCATCGCACACAGGGTGGAAATCAGCCGATTTTCAAAAATTCATAACTTTCGCATACGAGTTCCGGTTTCGACGTTCTTTATATCCACGCGTAGGTAAAAATATGATCTACAACTTTCATTTTGACTCCGTCGGCCTATTCTCGACTGATCTTAAATTTAACAGTACAAGAAGATTAGACTGTTAAATGACCGCGAAGAATTCGTAACTCCTTCATACGGACTCCGTTTTCGTCTGTCTTTTTACCGTTGAGTTCCTAGTGATGAGAACTTCAATTCTTATTTAGGTTGCGTAGGCCAAAAATCACTCGATCTAAAATTCGAGTTTCGGGCCGTGCACTGCTAAGATAAATCTTAGAAAAATCATAACTTTCCTCATACGAAGTCAGATTTGGGCGTTCTTTTTATGGACGCTCTCGGTTTAACGTATACTACAACTTTTGTTTAGATTTCTAAGGCTAAAAATTCCTCCATCGTAAAATCACTATTTACGTCTCCCGGTGCCGTGCCGGTTTTGCCGAAAAACTTCGACGGATCATAACTTCTTCGTTATAACTCGGATTTTGGTGTTCTTTATATGTACGGAATCCTTGAGTCATATTCCACAACCTGATTAAGATTATTTATTCTAAATAATATTTTGTAGAAAAGTCGTTTTCGACCCCTATTATCTCTAAATTGACTAGCCCGGATCTACGGGCGTTACAGGATCGCAATTTTTTTGGAAGATAATGATTTTTTTATTCAAAAACACCTTATATACACGATTACATTGAAGTTGTTATTCTTAGGATTTTGGATTGTGTCCTAAGATTTATAGTGTTTTTTTCAGCAATTTTCTTCTCCAATTCCTTTTACCAGGTTCTTTCTTTACTTTGTTCTCCTTCTTCTCCAATTTCTTGCATTTACTCTGTTCTTATTACCTGTTATTACTGTATTCCTGTTGAGAGGTCTTAAAAAAATTAATGAATATACTTTAAGCATATTAGTTTCATTCATTTAGTTACAAAAACAAAATTATATACTTTTTAATGTGTTCACCTATGTTTGTTTACGAGTCTATGTATAATCAACGTTATATCCTCTGTTTGCAACATTCCTGAAACTTGTGTAATCGATGTTCTTAATATGTGAGGGTTATCAAATGTAATCATGAATCAAATACAATGGTATATATCAATGAATGGAACTCGTATATTTCTATACACCATATAAAAAAATACTCCTCTACATTGAATTTTATTTGCATGATGAATGAGGGCAGAACAACATCTATGTATACATTCTCTTTACCTGAAATACCCCTACCCCTACCACTGATGCCCCCTTCTACTGCTTGATATGTTTTCTGATGAGCATCAACAAAAACTATTTATACTTACTTTATTGTCAAGTTTGCATTATGAGGTTTTGTAAAAGTATATATAACATCATTCATATTTGGATTATAAGAATTGTATTTTATTTTTATAATTTTGATTTGGATTACATACAAAAGACTTTCTACATTATATGTTTTAGACTAAATTACATTCGGCGTCCTTGAGTTATGTCAACAGTTATAAATTCCGTCCATAAAACTATATTTTCACTCCGATCCTATGATTTTGAATTGTTCTTGTTTTGCCTATTTTACCCGGTCCATATTAATTACTTGGTTGGGTCACATGTGTTTAACAATCATTAGTTTTTTCACAAACAGAAACATGGCTCATAGCAACATTACCTTCATAGACCAAGTTGATGTTTCAAAAAGTCAATTTACCATGAGAGTAAGAATAATTCGTCTCATGAAACATCTTGCTTATGGATATTCAACAAAGACTTACAAAACTAATATGATTCTCACTGATGAACAAGTAATAACATTTTTTTATGAATTTTCTTACAATTTCATTCGAACCACATATAACAATATATAAACTGATTTTTTTTTTGTGTATTTAGGGAAGGAAGATCGAGACAGAGGTTACTAATAGATAGGTTGAAAGATTTTAAAGTTTGTTTCATGAGGATGGTTGTTACTACATCCAAAATACACAACTTGGTATTAATCAAAACGAAAATAGTTTTGTTGATAATGAAAACAAAATCAATATGTATATCACAACCAAAGTTACACCATGCAGTCAGTGGACTGGATTACTTTATAGATTCTCTTTTGCAAACTTCAACGCCATTTTGGATGGTGTTTTTATTGAGAACACACATGTTGGTTAGTTTATATGTTACAATCTAACGATCTATATAACGATATTTTGTTATTTACCATCACTCACCATAACGAAACTTTTATACTAATCTTCCATTTGTTTATCTTATATAATAGATGTTATTGGAGATGTTGTGACATGCTTCCCAATGGAAACCCTTATGAACAAGAAAAATAAATTATCAAAGAGAGTCAATTTGAGCTTGGAAGATCTAGAGTATGTTTACTTTTCGAAATTTTGTGTGAAATTTTACTTTCTAATGTCATTTTATATTGTATATTTATTATGTTTTTGGCTTTTGTAGAAGCAAACAAATAAATGTAACACTTTGGGATGGGTATACACAACAGTTTGCTGACTATTTGGAAAATAAGAAACAAATTCGTATGATCCTATTTTAAAGCAACAAAAATAACATCTTCTTTATTGTTAATATTTCTTGTCAAATCCAGTCCAGAAAGCACATCTGCTAATTGTAGAAACGCTTCGTCCTCCATCATCTACTCTGCAAATAACGATTTCCCTTCATAAGTTTGATCTCCAACAAGTAGATGGGGGGGTTTATATACTTAACTTTCATTTATGAAATATACATTATGTCAAATAGTTTTTGGATTATTTTTACTCTCATATTTCATTTTACTTTTTTTTATTATATAATTTAAACTGACATCAATATTTCTCAGAAAAAAAACATTGATTGTTGTCGGTACGATTAACCATGTGTGTACTCTATAGTTATTTTGTGTCACAACAATAGGACATAAAGAGGTGTTAATGACCATTAAAGATGAAAAGGTAAGATATAATTTAAGAATATTATATAAAATGTAAATTGTAGATTTGTGATATTTATTTCTATGAAAAATATGTTGTTTGATTGCTAGGTTACATATCTGAGTTTTTTTTTTTTTTTTTTTTTTTTTTTTTTTTTTTTTTGTAATTTGATTTTGATAAGTTTGATCTAAATTTGATAATTGAAGTAGGTAGGAAAGATATGTGCTAACGATTTTGAATTTGTATTGGCCTCCAGAAACCAACCGTAGTCTCACAGACCGTTCCCTCATATCTCAGTAGGTCTTAGCATTTTCCCAAATTCAGCTACAAGAAGTCATGTATGTACTTCTTGAATCAATCCTCTAAATTTAAATTTCATTTGTTAGTTGGATGCAGTGACCAAAATGCAAGATTTTTGAAAGTTCATTATTATTTATTAGTGTTAACCTTTGGCAAATTATGAAACTAATGATATAATTTTGTTCATAACATGTTTTTTTTTGTAATAATTTCTTTGATCGAAAGATATGTATATGTGATAGGGTGTAGCCTGAAAAATCATATTTTAATTCTTATAAGGAAAAAATACTTTAGAAATTGACCAAATTACAATGTCTGAATTTGATGTTTATGGTTATAGCAATGCACTTTAATTATAATGTTTATCGAATTTCTTTGTAGAATTTAACGTTGCTGGTACATATAACAACTTATTGTTGTTTTTGGTTTTACATGACCTATATGAAAAGAGTCATATAAGCCTCCATAGAGATTGGTACACCGAACAAAATCAATTCATAAAGCTACTATACAACATGTTTTAATCAATGAGTCGCATCATGTTGTGATAAAACAAAGATCATGTGGATCATTTATATTAAAAATTATTGTATTAAAAAATTAAATTGCTCTAATATAAATATTAAATATTTTTATTTAACAAGTTTGGTTCAAAAACTCTAAAATGAATCTAACATTTTTTATTAAAATTTCACCTAAGACAATGCCACCTATTAGTATGATATGTATTAATTTATGTTCCCTGCGTTTAACGCGAGTTATAATCTAGTAATGTAATTATACTCTGATATATTTGAATAAATAAAAATGAAAAAAAAATGTGTTGAAAATCAGGACGTTACACAGTTGTTGCTGATGTTTGAAACAATAACAGTAAGCACGAGGGTCAACTTGCGAGGCTGATACACGTGCAACACATGAGGAGGGCCGCTTACCCTATAGTCGGAACCATCATGCCTTCGAACCTTTATTTAATTAATACTTAATCATATATAACACGACAAACACGAAAAACACGACAGACAATTGCTAAATCGTGTCGAATTTAGAACACGAACACGACACGACACGCCATCGTGTTTTTTACACTTGACACGAACACGAATTCGAATTTCAGTTTTGTCCTAATATCGTTTCGTGTCGTGTATTTTTTTCGTGTCGTGTCATCAATTGCCACCCTTACCGTCAATACCGATTAATCCCGCCAAACCTGATAAATCCCTAATTTCCGTCAAGCACCCCTAATCCTAATCGGTTGGAGAACGTCAAACGATTAATTCACGATTAATCCCGATTTCTGTAACCTTGAGTTATTATAGCATATTCTACTTCTATTTTTTCCTATTACAACATGCTACTATGGAAAATCTACTCTCCCCAATGCAATTCCCAGTAGTCCAGGTCTGTTAACCTCAAATTTGGAATACAAACAGTATCAAGATGGATTTAGGAGTGAAAAGAAGAAAGCTTTACCCTTCCCTACGCTTTCCATTCCAAAACAGGGGCATCCATGGAGTGGCCACGTGGAAGCTTAAGAAGGGGTTCCAAATACTGGATTCGCGCCATCACTTAACAACCAGGGCAAATTTGAGATTTTAACTTATTAGTTGGTTGCAATTTCTCTTCTTCCTCTCTCTCAAAATCTGTAACAGTAACTTCTCAATTTGTTTGCACAAAAAAAATGGCGAACGTGAAATGGACTGCGGTTGAAGACAAGATTTTTGAAAGCGCCCTCGTTGGAAACAAAGACGCCGAGAACAAGTGGGAGTTGATCGCGGAATTGCTTCCCAGAAAAACCGCTGAAGAAGTAAAGGAGCGTCGAGAGACTCTACTGATGAATGCAGCGACAACGGGGACCACAGAAGAAGACAAGCTGTTTGAGAGTGCTTTGAAGAATGTTCCAGAGGGTACTCCGGGAAGGTTGCATGAGGTGGCCAAGGCCGTTCCCGGTAGGACGATGGAGGAGGTAAGGGTTCATTCTGAGCTCTTAATGATGGATGTGGATGTGGATTTGAATGAGATTGACTTCCGTCGGGTTGAACTTTCGAATTATGACAAGGAATCGGCGAGAGAGGGATCTCAGAAGAAGAGGAAACCATGGACATCAGAAGAGCACAGGTAATCTTGCTTAATTGATTTGATTGCATCCTTTGGAAATTGGAAATCATGTTAGGTTTTAATCATTTCTCAGGAAATTTCTTGAGGGGGTGAAGGAGTTTGGAAAAGGCGAGTGGAAGAGCATTTCGAGGAACTCGGTGATCACAAGGACGCCGGAACAGGTTAAAGACCACTTCCGATATTACTTCGGGAAAAACGACAGGGAGCGAGAGCTATACAACAACAAAACCAAATTTAACGACGGATTGGGGGAGCAGCAACCCAGGAGGAAGCGGCGGAGGGAAAGAACGATGGTATTCTTGCGATGTCTCGTGAGTTGGTGTGATGTGAATTTTTTTCTTTGATTTCTTTTTGGTTTCTTGACGAGAGTAACGTTTGTACAAACTGCTTGATTTGTTCTTTCTTTTTCTTTTTGAATAATATCATTTGAATAATGATCTTGAATCTTGCTCCATGAAGAAGGGCCTTATAGTCTTACATCGACTGGGTCGGCCCATCGTTTATGGGCCTAAACCCAAAGTTTTGTGTGTATTTTGTAATTTACAATTTGTACAATTGTTGTATAGCTCGTTTAGTTATTCTTACCGGCGTGCGGCGGCGAGAAACGCCGGTGTGTGAGCGAAGATTCAATTGGGAAGAGGGAAAGATGTTATTCATGTGTTCATCATTATCAATTCAGCATCTGGATTCAGGTATGTATTCTCTTGCTTTCGACATAATGTTTGGCTAAGATATTTATCCATGATTCGATGATTTGATCTAAACTTTCTTCTGAGATTCTTGATGCAAATCTATTGTTTCCTTCGGTTATCGTTACTGTACGAACATGGTTTAGAGAAAAACAAGAAAGCCACGTGCAGAGATGACTTGTACCACCTGCATGTTCGTTTGTACACAAGCGATGATGTCTATCTCTGTTACATGCTTTTCGTCCATTATGGCTTATTACATGATATGGCATATCGATTTAGCTAAATGCATGCACCTGTGTGTTGCTTTGTTGGATGGTTTAATCCATTCTCAAACGTTTTTTGTACTTAATTAATAGGTGCTTTTAAACCTTTCAATCACTATTCCCCTTTCAAACTAATAAAATCAGGATCAAACATTTAATTAAATCATTTTCAAGTAATCAATATAAAAGCCTTTAGGTACAGATTGCCTAATGAAGGTTTGAATCTTGGTACTCTTAATACCACTGCAAATCTTCTAAGGCATCTTCAGTCGCATTGTGAGTTGAACACTAATCATGATTTCCTTTATTGACTTATCATTTCTTGAATCTTAGTGTTATTCCCCTATATGTCATGTTTCCAAATGTAATTACCCCAAACTACCCACCAACTAACTATATGCTATTTTGCATTTTCTGTATTTCCCACTTTAACCCGGCTGGAGTATGTAAACTTTAACAGAAATGTAACAATGGCCATTATGGCGTAGTAGAGAAGTACTATGAAAATAAATACACTTTGCACATAAGAATCAAGACTCAAGAGACATTTAGAAACATAAAGTTGCTTCAGTTGCACACACCATTTCTGCTATTACTATGTCCACTTCCACATTGATATTTAGGGTTAAATGCAAGAAGTAACAATGTACTTTCATATTATTTCTTATCATATAGCATCCTAATTTTATTTTTTCCTATTACAGAATCATATTTTGAAAGATCTACCCTTTCTTCGTGGAATATAATGCTGTCAGGATATATTAACAATGAAAACTCCTTTCCAAACTAACTGAAGGACTGAAGCCTAATGAGTTGTGTTGATCAAGATTGGTGCAATTTGGTCATGGATCGAAACTCCATTGATACTCCATAAGAAGACAAATGGACCTTGAGAATTGAGATTGATACATATGTTCACTCAGTAATAGATACGCATTCAAGAAGTTTCTAGAATAGGGAGTACCTGATTTGGAAAAAGAGAATAGAAGAATCTTTTTCAACAGCAAGAATATAATAAGGGTTCTAACCTGCTTGGAGAAGTTGAAGGTCACAGACAATGTGCAATCCAACCCTAAAATATTAGACTAATTCCCGTGAGTCTAAATGATGCTAGGGATGTCAAAAAGTCCCGTGGGCCCCCCGATTCCATATGAGAGATATTTGTTAAAAAAATGAGGATGGGGCGGGGGCCGGGGCGGAGGCAAGGTTAACCTCCATTTTAATTTTGGGTGCGGGGATGTGGGTAGGCCGTCCCGTCCCTAACCCCCATGGGCCCCCGTTAATATATTATATGTATTTATATATATTAATTATATAAATATAATAAATAATAACAATGATTTTGAGCTTTTGGTTCAAAAAATCAACAAAAAATTATGTTTTTAAATTGTCATTATAATGTTTTTGAGATTTGATAACATTTTTATTTTAACATGTAAAATTATATTATAGATAACTACTTTTAACCTAAAAAATAAATTCTTTAATCCCAAAAAAATTTCCTTTAGCCCAATAAAAATATCCAAAAACAACTTCTTTGGCAGTGTGCAATAGTGGTACAAGCCGATACAATTACTTTTGATAAACCATGTCAAAAAGAAAAAGCCATAATTCCACACGAGAAATTTAAAAAGCCTCCGAAAGGAGGAAAGCAAGAGACAAAAAGGAGGGGATTGAATCAATGTAGGATAAACTAATACTTCCCTCAGTGTCGGAGACTCGATGATGATAAACAGGAATGTGTTGAACCACAAGGGTGCGAGACTTCGACTTCAATACTATATAAATATATAGGATACATGTAGATCACCTTTGAAAATAAATAATTTGTGTTTTAAACTCACTCTACATTATGTTATAGCAAATCCAAAGACAAGCCGTCTTAAACTGAATACAGTTTATTGTTTATAAGTCTGAATGGTTTTTAATCAGTTATATAATTACTCCAAAAAGTTTAAAGCAGTGGTCACTGGTGTGCTTGCAGCTCAACGATATGACGTGGAAGTTCTTATCCAAAACTCCAACTTGGAAGCTTTTTAACACGTGCAGACACGTGTCTTCCCCCCCCCCCCCCCCCCTGCTTTTTCTACCCCTTCAACTACATGCTATTAGCAGACTTAGTCCTTTTACTTCATTTTCTCTCATACATAATCAAAAGCAATGTACACCTGTTTTGACCCATTTTGGGACTTGGGAGACATATCACATGTTTTCTTTTTCCGCGTCTACAGCTGTAGTATTGTTACGTGATAACATACAATATTCTCATAAAAGTTGTTTTGCATTTTAAAAAAAAAATTACTTTGCAAATTTGTGAAAGGTCCAAGCTATATAGTAACATGGCATTCTTACACAGTTAAACAATTTTACGAATGAATCATAAGATCATATACATATCTATTTATTACTATTAACAGATAATTTTCCCTTTGGTTATAAAATTTGACACTGATATAAACTAATTTTCTTTTCGTTTAAAGGACAACTAATATATTATATATCTTATATATATATATATCTATATATATATATATATATATATCTATATTATATATATATATAGAGGAGGGTTCAATCGAGAAAAAAAAGGTTGAGAATGGGGGAATCATTCTCAGCCACACATTTATTTTGCCGCAAAACACTTAGGCCTACCGTCGGAAATGGATAACGGATAAACATGTGTTTTCCAACCAAACATGTTTCTTAAACTATGCTCCTCATTACCTTAATACACAAAAACATATTTTTTTCGTTTTGTTTTATTTTTTAGAAAGCCATTATTATCGAAAAATTATTTTAAATATATCAAAATTCATAATTTTATTCTCTATAAATAGACATCCATATTGATTACTTTTAAGATAAAATAAAAAATTTATTTTTTTTAGAGTTTCAGCTTTCGTTATTCATAAGTGAATAAAAAAATCTATCAGGTTTTTATTACAATTATTCGTATTCACTTATGATAAAAAACGTATGCGTAACTTTTTTTATATTCGTTACAGTATATATAATATATATTATATATATATATATCTATATATATATCTAATATATCTATATATATATATATATATATATATATATATATATATATATATAAAACACCTTACATATTAATATTCGCTTTCAAGATAAATAGGTGGAAGATACAAAACAAAACCAAGGATTCAACAGTAAGGACAAAATCTGAAACAAAATAAAATATAAAAATCACATTGATATCTAATGCATAAACCAAGGACCAATATTGAAAAAGATAGAATTGGTTGAGACGGCTGTTGGGTTTGGAACTTAGGTCAATGGTATCACCAGCTTTCCAATGTAAACTTACTACACGACAAAAACCCGGATGACACGTCAGCGTCCGTTCCAATTCGGTTCCTCGAAACTGCCTGCCCACCTCATTGACACGCATTTTAATATTTCATATAACCAAATTGATATAAATCCCAATTTAAAACGGACCTTAGAAAAATGGTTTTTTAACAAGGACCTTAGAAAAATATAAATCCCAATTTAAAAATGGTTTGTGACACATTTTCCAGTTAACGACAGATAGCCTTACTATAAAGAGTGTTGCAAATTTTAATTTTTCTAAGGCCATCCGTAATGGTCCTCACGACCACGACCTTCGTCCATCTCCACGTCACCACCACAACTATTCCCCTTACAACCGGGATGGTGTGCACAAGAGAAGATCGTGGTCAAAACGAGAAAGAAGACTGAGAAGGAGAAAGAAGGCAGAGAGGAAGAGTTTGTGGTCAAATGTGGTGGTGACCACGATCCTCCACGACAACGAGCGGCATAGTATTCGTGGCCACGTCGACCACGATGAGCCTCATTTTCGGTATATCGGAAGGCCTAAGGGTTAGGCTAAGAGCATTATCAATGAATGAAGATTTTTTGGCTGTATTGAAAGAACTATGTGAAGATAATGAGTTTTTGTTATTTTATTAATTTTCTAATGTCAATCTAATGCATTTTAGAGTAAGTTACAAAAATTGTTCGTGTAATTTATGAAATTACGCGGTTTTAATCTTTAGGTTATTTTATCTAACGATTAGAAGTGTTATCATGGGCTTTGTTAAGGTTACGTTTTGGAACAATTTGAGGATTTTGTGAAGATGTTAAATCTCATAAAATAATCATTTTGCGAACCACTCATGAAATTAAGCAATATTATAAGCCATTTGTGAGACTACTAGTGTATTTGACATGAAACTTTTGAAAACTTTTTAACTTTTATCGTCTTAGAAAAAAATTGGAAAAAAAATGTTGCTTTTAACTTTTATTTTAAAAGAATATTTTTAATAAAAATGCTACTTGAAGTAGTTTTTGAGAGTTTTTATATTTTAGTTTTCACATGTTTATATGCCTTTTGCGTTTAATACTTTTGGTTTCATTGTGTCAAATGTTGTGGAGCTCCGCAATAGAGTCGAACATGTCATACATATCAATGTTATTACCCCCGAGATTTATGGATGTCTTTAGAAAAAAGTTAGCATCACAGTTTGTTGTCTGTTTACCTGTTATGTCTATATAAAACTTTTATGATTATTATCATATTATAATTGAAGTAAGGATGAACTCTTACTAATTTAAAATATTTAAAATTGAACAGTTATTTTTACCAAACATTTCTGTATAAATAAAAGCTACATCTACTGGCTATCAGTTTCTAGCTCTTAACTACCGGCTTATTTTATCAAACACACATCCGTAGAAAAAAATAGTCACCAAATTAAAGTTAGTGAGAACGATTTCAAAATAAATTTTCTAATGATAATTTTTTTTAAAAAAATTACGTTTGTAGTAATCCTTATTTATTATTGGTCTGGTGATTAAGTTGTTTTTCCATTGCCCTTGTCCCATGTCATAAATTTTAAACGTGCATTCTTATTTTATTCTATAATGGAACAGCAAAATTAAATAACTTAAATAATTAAATCTTTTTTCGCATATTGATAACCGCTTTTTTCACATAAAAATACACCATGGATTCTCATTGTCATTATCAGAATCCCAAATCTCTTGAAATTGTCACCGAAAAACTCGAGATAATCTTGATTGTAGATAAAGATTTGGAGAGATAAATTGAAAAGTAACCTCGACAACTTCCCATGGAAAATCAAATCAATTCATGTATATACGATCAACAGAAGATATCAAGAATCCAATTCCAATCTACTACGGAGTCAACGTGGACGAGGTATGAAGACAAGCTTTTTGAGAGAGCTTTGGTGGATGTTCCGGAGAATATTACAGAACGGTGGGATGAGATAGCAAAAGCCGTTCCAGGTAAGACTGCGGAGCAGGTGAAGATTCACTTTAAGAAGCTATTGCACGATTTAGATGCGATTGAGTCGGGTCATTTTGAGTTTCCGAAATATACAGACAATTATGATGAAAAGGAATCGATTGTGAGTTTGGATTCCGAGCTGAGAAGAAGTCAGATTTCTTTTAGGGCAGCGGGAAGGGGGTCTAGACATGGAGAATGTGAGAGGAAGAAAGGGACTCCCTGGACACAAGAAGAGCACAGGTATTTAATTGGTTTCAGTCTTTTTGGAATCTCTTGGCATTCATTGATTCTTGAGTTCTTGCTAGCATCGTTTGTGCTTTTATGATAAGTATTCACATGGGTTTTGAATCTTTACTTGAATTAATTAGATTTTTTTCTATGATAGAAGGTAATTACCTGTTCTATGGATTTTACATGATAAATTATGAAAGATAAAGGCATGAGTTCTGTTTACTTTTAATGGTATCAACAAAAGAAAAGAGTACATAATTGACTTTTACATAGTCAAATATGTCTTTCCATGAAATTGCATCAGTGTCGTCTCAGATAATTAATTTCACTTTAAGCATCTTGGGACTAAAATAGTTATGAATTATAATTTCAATTGCATTACTTCAAGTCATTTAGTTTGCATAGTTTGACCTAAAACTGAAACTTGTGCATCTTGATTTATTCAATTCATGTGATTACCTACTTCACTTAAATTATAGACTCATGGCTTTGACATGTTCACAGGAATTTTCTGAAGGGGTTGAAGTTGTACGGAAAAGGTGATTGGCGGAGCATATCAAGGAACTGCGTGATCACAAGGACACCAACACAAGTGGCCAGCCATGCCCAGAAATATTTCCTCCGACAGAGTTCACTGACAAAAGAAAGGAAGAGAGCAAGCATCCACGACATAACCACCACAATGGTGATGCAGCCACCGCTGCCCACTAGCGGCCAAGGTGGAGCACTACACGGGTATGAATATCAAAAAAACTTTTGGTGCCCAATTGAAGATCAACATCTAGTCCACAAATTTAATACAAAACCCCTGCCATATTGTGATTAATTCAGAATAGTACAGATTTTCCCGCTAATTAGTTTTCACACGCATTAGCGCATCCATAGTGCATTAAATTTCATAGAGTTCAATTAATTTTGCCACATCATTTTTCTACATTTCATATAACTGTATCAGTTTTTCGTGCAATGTATCGAACTTCACAAAGTTCTATAGATCACTACAAAGGCTAATTTATAGTATTTATTTAAGAGTTTGAAAACCTTCATAAATTCATTGAATGTGAATGTGTATTTTACAATAGTAAAATTTTATTCATTGAATGACAATTAGACTTATAATTTCATTCAATTCTTCCATTAAATGGATGTGATAGGTGTCATGAAGTTTGATTTGGTTTTCAATTTTAATTTCATTCAATTCTTCCATTGAATGTCAATGTGTATTTTACAATAGTAAAGTTTTATTCATTGAATGACAATTAGACTTATAATTTCATTCAATTCTTCTATTAAACTCACTATTATGGATGTGATAGGTGTCATGAAGTTTGATTTGGTTTTCAATTTTATTTTTCAAAGCATCATTGATATGACAGGAAAATCTCTAGTAAACTTTACACGCATCAATGAGATGTACCCGACAAGTAATCATGTGTTTCAAGATCAAAAGTATAATAACCCCCCTTACTTTAAACTCGAAGTTTTGAAAATTAAACAAAGTTCTTTGGCTTTTTGTGTGTCATATTTATTACAGGGAAAATGACATACTAGGGTAATAAATTGTAATTTTTGTTCATATTTTGTCATTTTTTATATATATAACTATTAAACTTTTATTTTGTGTTTCAATTATACCTTTACGATCGGTTGTAGTAGGTTAACGTCCAATTGACATCTATGTGATATTAACGTAACGTATGCGATTGAGAAAAATAACTTAAAGGGTAACCAATTGTCATTTTTGTTTACATTTGATCCATTTCTTTGTACACAATTGACCACTAATTTTCGTGATCATGTCGAATGTAAAAAGTAAAAGGTTATATCGTTTTCGTGTTCAAACGTCAACACAAACACGAGACTAAATTGGCATGGTATTAACATGTGTTGGTTCTGTTTTGTAAGATTAATTATGAATTAGATAAATTAAAGGTTTATTTTATTTTATCATTTTCATGGTTTGTCATGTTTATTGATTTATCGTGTTTTAATTGGTTTCTTTCGTGTTAGTAAAACAAAACAGGAAATCACGACGTGTCGTGTTGTGTTTACGTTATATAAAAAGTTGGTGCGTCATGTCGTTTTAGCTCGGTCCAATTATAAAAAATTGATTGTTATCATGTTTGGAGCATATCGTATATTTAGCGAGGTTTTGGTTGCAACGTTTGTATTCTACGATTTGAAGAGATGAAACCATAATATGTGTTATTGTCGGTCATAAGGGTGTAATTTGAACAAAAATCACATAGCCAAGAGGCCCAAAACCAAAATGAAAATTGTCCAACATTGTTACTTTTATCACATTTAACCAACATCTTACAATCATTTTTATATCATAGTTTGAAGCATTGTTACTCATACCATTTCGTGGTGCAATATCACATGTTTAGCCTGCAAAATGACGATAAAAACTAACTATCCGTAAAACCTAGCTTGGAAACTATCATATAAATAACATTATTATAAATGTATCTCAACATCAATCCTAACATGGCAACCAGATATGCATTTGTTATATAACACATAACCATAACTACAACACAAAGCAGGTTCACCTCAACTCAAACCAACATGTAGACATATGCACCTATAGAAACGACATGTCGTCTCTATAGGTATGCCCATACAGCTGCTTATTTTTCTCTATAATTTCCTAGTTTTTAAGACACAAAATTGCTAAAGCAGTAAATTTACAAAATAGCTAAAACGGTAAATTTAATAGCAAAACATTAAAGTACGATACAATCTCAAGACATTTAAAGTCTTATACAAGTTTACCAAAACATATCACCTACTTTGAAAATGTTTAAAAGTTTCATAAAATTACACATACTACCTAATTTAATTAGATTCACTAAGCCAATCTTTACTTTGATCATCATCACTTTGACCATCATCACATTGATCATCATCATTTTGAACATCATCATATATCATCTGTAAAAAAAAGTTATAAAAGAGTTGTAAAATAGTGTAAAAAATGTTATAAAATTACACATGCTACCATTGATATGTTATATGGAAAAACAAAAACACGAGATTTATTACCAATGTGCAGCTGAGAAATTACATGCATATATCTACCTTGTAACTATGTAGATAGCAGAAATGGATTTGCTTTGACGTCTTTTCAATCTACCTACAAATTAAGATTAGTAAAAGTTATCCTCTCCAAATATTATTGCAAATATAATTCATATGAAGAACAAAATAGAGGAAAATTTTGGGCTTCTAAGTATGTGTAGTTCAAAAAATGCAAACACATCTGGTCACTTAAAAAAATTGTAATCAAACACTCAACAAAAGCACAATTTGACAGCAACAGAAGCTGAAAAGGTCTATTCTAGATCTAAACTATATTATCTAATTTTCTTATACCAATTATGCCCCTATTCTTTTCCCCATCAAGTGTTGTCTCAATGAATGATAATGGAATGTAATGATACATTCCATTGCTTTGTGATTCCATTTCATCACTTTGTGATTCCATTCCATCATATGGAAACGACCATTATATATTTGCATATATCAGCCTAAACATAAGTTGCCTAAATCAGACCATCTTTACAGATTCCAAAATCACCACTTTCATCTATTTGGTCAATGAGCATAGCTGCTAATAGTCACATACCTTCTAGAAGCAACAATAATCAAGATGTAGTTGTTAATGAATCAAGTCTATGGACATGTTCTTCAAGTATATGTGCTGATGATAAACAAGAAAATGTAGTTCAGCAAGGTAAACAATCTTTGAAATGTTTTTAATTGTCTTAATTCAAGTTGGAAGAATACAAGTTACAACATTCCGGTCATTAGATGGAAAACAAAATCATGTGTTCACCTTATTTTTGTAATTTCAGCTCCTGCATCAATGACTTCTCACATTCCTTATAGGCTCTCTAAGGTGCTGTTTGTTTTTTCTAAGGCAAAATGTTTGCAGTCTGCGGACCACATCTGTAAACCTCTGCAGTAGAAGAGGTGGACTAAACGTCCGCAGTCTGATAGAAGAAGACTGTTTGTTTTTAACATCTGCATGCTGCTAGAATAAACTAAAATCTTATTAAACTAATTAAAAAAAACTTAAAATAGTTTTTCAATAATTTTATGACTTTATTATAGATAATTAACAAATGTAACTTTTATGTATTATTGTATAAAAATTCCAATAAAATGATACATATTAGCGTATATATATTTAATAAAAACCAACCATCTTTGATCGCAAAGTTATACCTAAACATTGTAATTAGGAATAACAAAAAAAAATTTAACACGTAAAATGGATGGAAATAAACTTTGATTTTAAATGAAAATTTTCATTTTGCTTTTTCAATTAAATCAATTAAAAACCGAACATAAATATTTTTCCTAAAAAATGAATGATACTGCATTAAATTATATTTTATAAAATATGACACAAAAATATAAGACAATATTAGGATTTTTTTTCTTCATATCTATATAATAGCTCCAATGACCATTATTGTAATTAAATCTTTATTTATAAATTTGTTAGAAAGGTCATGATTGTGTCATCAAACTTTTTTTTCTTTAAGTATTGTAACTTTTTTATTAAAATTTGTTTATCATATATAAAGTTGGATTAAATCTAAATTAAAAAAACAAAAAAAAAATAGAAAAAAGAAAACAAAAATATATGTGTTTTTTCGGCTAAAGATATTTGAAGACTCTGGTTCACATCTGCGCCAAGAAGAGGAGGCGCAGACCTTTTTAGGTTTGCAGTCTTAAAAAAAACAAACAGTTTGCGAAGCCTAATGTCTGCGTGTGGTCTGCACGGCGCAGACAAAAGAGGCCAAGAAGATCTGCAGACAAAAAACAAACAACACCTAAGTGAGTTTTCTTGGTATTAAGGCATAAAATAAACAAATTACGATGCTATAATAAACAAATAACCCAAATTACTTAAATTATGGGTGTTTCTAAGCTCATTGCAAGAACTATTCAATAAATCCAAAGCCAATTCAACATATGTTCTAAGTTCCTAATTCCCATATTGTCATACTTAGGGTTAAGCACATTACAGGTTGACACTGATCAAGTACATACCCCAAATAGCAAAGATCATATTAGCATATTATCATAGTAGCAGATTATCGGTGCTAAAAATATCTCGGTGAAAAAAATACCTTTTTAATTGCAGAAGTAAAATCCACGGAGAAATCGATACTCCAGACTTTAATAATGACTAACTAGAAGGAAAATCCACAGAAAAATTGTTGATGTTGATATAGTTTATCAATATTCCATCTTCAAAACGAGAAGCTATGAAACCATAGAAAATTACAATTCCTGTTTGAAGTTTCAAACAGAGAATTACTAACCTAGGTTGCCCGAGTGGGGCTTGTATTCGTTAGAATTCGTAAATGGAGGTGAAAATGAAGCCGATAGTTAATATCGTCAACGTTAAAGCTAATCGTCGGTGGTCTTCGACAACTAGCATGAGGATTGAGAGACATGAAGAAGATTTGCCCGGAGTGGGAGGTGAGGAAGTCGCCAGGGGGGAGAGAGTGTGTGTGAGAGAGAGAGATAGAGAGAGAGATGATGGAGCGTACGTGAATGAAACAAAGGGGAATTCTCTCCTAATTTTGGGCATAAAAAGCTATGGGGACAACAAGTCGTCTCTATAGTTATCCCCAAAACGACGTCCCAGCTTTATTTCCGTTAAATGATTAAAAAAAATATAACTTTAATTTTTGTTATTTGTTAGAGCGATAATTCGTCGCCATAGGTGTTTCAAAAATACGCCAAATCCACTTTCTTTCCCGCTTAACATGTTGAGACGAGAAGTCGTAGTTGTAGCTTCAAAAATCAAAAAAATTCGTCAACTCTATGGCGACGACATGTCGTCCCTATAGGTAGCCTATAGCAACGACAAATATTGTCCCTATAAATCTCGTCCTTGTAGGTGCTTATTCTTGTAGTGTTTAACGCATATTTTATTCTTATTTTATTATATCATTATAAGCACATATATTATGTATAATTACATATAAATCATATAATACTAAGATAATTCTCTTTATTTATCTCATAAAATGTTACAATTGCTGACTATTACAATTACATAATTTTATTAATGCTTAGTGAGAAACACGAACGTTACATAGTTGAAATCTTTATGTTTGAGCATCGATTTGATATTTGTATCTTCCTTGTGTAACTCCACAATCGATCACAATGTTCCTTTGAACTCCCTTTAGTAATATACATAACATATGATTTAGCTCTTATACACCGGTTCACTTCCATTTGTAATTAAAGAAGGCTCATTTGTTGGTTATATAATATTTCTTGAAATGGCTTCGAATCCATTCACAAGTATATATGAAACCAATGAAATTCCTTGCATATTATGAGCAATGTTGAGGAACTTGCTCTATAATGGCTGCTCATCACATAGCAAAGAGGCCAAAAACCAAAAGGAAAACCATCCAACATTGTTCCTTCTGCCACATCTAACCAACATCTTATAATCGTTTTTATACAATAGTTTGTAACCATTGTTACTTATACTATTTCGTAGTCAATTTCGCTTGGTCGGCTAGCAAAATAACCAAAAAAAAATATATTTTGAAAAAAATATTTCATAGTCCACCTTGGGAAATTTATGGTTATTTTTGGAAATAGACTAATTTTGTCTAATTAATGTTGAAAAAACCCTAATTCTTTTGCTTAAATTTTGTCTTTCCTTAAAAAAAAGTCCATTAGCTCCCTAAATTAGGGCGTTCTGTTCTCATACGAATAGATGCACGGAGTCTCCTTGTCATTGTGAGATTCTAAAATCCCTTAGATTCCTCAACGGATACAACTATATAAACCCATAAAACCTAGCCGTTTGTAGATAAAGATTGGAGAGATAAAAAAAGGTATGGAGAATGAAAGCAATTCAGGTAAGTACCATGTATGCGAATCTCTGGCGAGGTCAACGTGGACGAGGAATGAAGACAAACTCTTTGAGACGGCTTTGGTGGATGTTCCGGAGAATATCGAGGGGCGGTGGCAAAAGATAGCTGATGCCGTTCCAGGTAAGACTGAAGAAGAGGTGAGGGTTCGCTACGATGAGTTACTACACGATTTGCATGAGATTGAATCGGGTCGGGTTGAGTTGCCAAGATATGCAGACGATTATGAAGTAATTAAGGAATCATTTGTAAGTTCGGATTCTGAGAACAGAAGCAGAAAAATTGATCAGAGGAAGAAAGGGACTTCCTGGACTGAAGAAGAACACAGGTACGTAGTACAAGAATTTATAAACTTCCTTGGCATTCCTCAAGAAATTGGGATTGTGCATGATATATGTTAGATCAGTTTCGGGGTTCAACCTTTAATTAATCAGATAGTATTGGTATCAATGAATGCATCTTTTTCTTGAAACAGTAATACCACTTAATTATAATCTCAATGATGTGTTCTGGTTTGATTGCATTTGCATAGTTTGACCTTGTAGTCAAACGGCGTTGACTCTTGAATCTTGATTTATTCCATTAATTCATTCGATATCAAATTTACTAACTAATTTGTTGGGTTTTGGATTTGACAGGAATTTCCTGAAGGGGTTGACCAGATACGGAAAAGGTGATTGGCGAAGCATATCAAGGAACTGCGTGGTCACGAGGACGCCAACACAAGTGGCCAGCCATGCCCAGAAATATTTCCTCAGACAGAGTAATTCGCTGACAAAAGAGAGGAAGAGAGCAAGCATCCACGACATAACCACCCCAGATACCACCACAATGGTGGTGCAGCCACTGCAGCAGCAGCCCGCAAACATCTATAGCGGAGCACCACCCCAAATGGGGTATGAAAATCAAAACTACCCTAATTAATTGATGCTTAATATCTAGTTGACTAATTTAATTAGTACAAAATCCCAGCATATCTCCCCGCAAATTAGCCATAAATTGCAATTGTAAAGTTCTTTTCTCCATACATGACTTGAAGGGAGTTTGGTTTACTTTTCTCTTTATTTTTTTTTTTGGAAATGACATAAATACCCTACAAACTTTCTAGGTTTGTCCATTTAGTTCGTAAACTATTTTCGTGGCTACAAACTTTCTAGGTTTGTCCATTTAGTCCGTAAACTATTTTCGTGGCTTTACGAGGGAACGTTCTTTTCCACAAAATGAAGGGGCACCCGGTTACCGTTTGCCACATACACATTTGTTTGACCAGTTTTCTCTTAACCCACGTAAACTCATTACTATTCGTCTTCTTCCCCACATTTTTTCCCCTGCCTGCGCTCCATTCAAATCCATCTGGGTCTCCTCCTGCTGCTGCACATATTCTTTTTTCCCCTTTCCGAATCTACCGAACATCTACTTTTTGTTGGAGTCAACAAAAAGTCTTGAAAATCTTATAATCAAATCGACAAAGGTAATTTAGCCATGTGAAAAATGAATTGCAAGAGCAAAAGAATCTTTATGGAAATTAATTGGAAGCTTCAAAGAACTCAAACACAAAAATAGGGCGTGATTTTCTTGAATCGAGAATAATTTTAAAACAGAGCTTTATAAGATGTCAAGAACCCTAGAATCCAAAAGGACCAAAACCATGTTTCTCAAAAACCTTAAAGATATTGATTTCCAATTTGATGAAACCCAATTCAGATTCAGCATCAAAAACATTAAATTTATAGGATATAATCGCAATACCCTCCATTTTCTGAACGATTTTCTTCACTTTTGGCTTGCAGCCATCACAGTGGATGGAACTCATCGGTGTTACATGGGCTAGGTACTCTCTATACACGAGGCACGATGGGTATGAATGAGCTCGTTATCTGTCACGTGTCTGACTCCACAACGAAGAAAGAACTAAAATTGTTCTTACGCAGCTTCCACAGGTCTGGTTTAGCTTCAAAATCGGACCTTTTGTTTGTCTTCAATTCCATTTCAACGATAGATTCTTTCAATGATTTAATTCGGGAAATGGGAGTAAAGTTGTCGACTTCCTGACAAGTTTCGATCTGACCCGGTTTGTGAAATCTGGCCAAGAGGCAGATAAAGGAGAACCCATCTGTAGTACTACAATGAGCCCGGGTTTTCTACTTGTCACTCAAACTGACTAAAAGAAGTAAATGGGACTAAAAACACAGGTTGCCCACGAGTTGATTTCCATAAAGCCATAAAAATAGTTTAGGGAATAAAATGATCAATCCTAGAAAGTTCGTAGGACATCTGTGTCATTTCCATTTATTTTTCAAAGCATTATAAATATATATGTCACAAAAATTTCCGTTTCAAATTTGGATGTCTCTAGGTTGTTGTTTGATCAGGTTAATCGTAATCAGTTTATTCTCTTCGATTTAAATACCTTAATTGGTATTCTGATTTTCAAAATATTAACCGAAACCAAAACAAATAAGGTTCGATTATTTTGGTTTGGTTTACTGATAATTAGTATGTATCTAGTTTCATAATACCAATCCAACAATCAGGATCTTAAAACCCTTGCTTTAGAGTACTCCTTCCTTGAAATCAGTCTAGGCACATATTTCAAATATTGATCATATCATCAAGTTTGTAATCAGGCCCGTCCCTGAGGGTTGGTGATAGGGGCGACCTCCAGTCCATCTTTTAAAGGGGTCTAAAATTTTTATGGACATTATTATTATAAGTTAGACAAGATCGGTCTTGAAGATATCATTAGTAACTTACATCTCAAAAAGCTAGAAGAGTTATTTTTCTTTAAATTTATGGATTTTTATAATCGAAAATGTTATATTTAGAAGCTAATATAAATAATTTTCTTACAATTATAGAGTTATTATAAAAACAAGTTAATTAAAATTTTATATTTTAAGGGCCTTTTGTTCTTCTCTCGTCCTAAGTCTAAAATATATTTAGAATGACCCTGTTTGTAATTGACACAAACATTTCAGCAAGACCTTTTTATTTGTTATTAAAATACCGCAGGTTTGTATTTGACACTAATATATCGGCAATACCTTTTTAATCAATGTTTTAAAAATCAGTTCGAACCGACCGGTTGGATCGACCAGGGAATGGAGTGGTTCAATTAGAACCGATTTTATGCCTATTTTTGGACCTAAACGAACCGGCCGGTTTTACAAAAACCCGGTTGAACCGGTGTAATTGAACTTTGTGGTCTTTTCACATCTATTTAGACTTTCTTTGTAATTTTGTATATGTTTTGTTTGATAACCAATTACATATCTATTTTTTTCAATTCCAAAAAATGAGTATCAAAACTCTTTGAATATGAGATAATCAGATAACGTTTGACATAATTTCTAGTGTTGATATTGGCCAACTTTATAGACCTTTAAAATAACAAAGAACTTCTATGTGTTTGATCTTTGATAAGTTTTTCTATATAACTTAAGTGGTGTGGTTTTGCGACTAGAAATGGTATATGTTATAAAGCTTTTTGATTCTGGTAAATGTCATGATGCGTTTTGGTAATGAAATTATGTAAATTCTATTTGGTAATGAAATTATGTAAATTCTGGAAACTGGATTGACCCGACGGTCGAACCGGCAATCGGTCAGGTTCAACTAAATAACTGATTTTTAAAAAAATTGATTTTTATTTATTATATTCAAAATAAATCACTTGAACATGACATTAAATTCTATCTATAAATAAGTATAGTCACAAAAATTCACCATAATCATTCTCATACATCGATTATGACATTAAATTCTATCTTTAAATAAGCCATTGAACATACGGAAAGGTTAGATCAAAGAAGAATGTTACATATGATCGTAATAGAGGAGGCAAATAAGTGGAAAAGCATATATATATATATATATATATATATATATATATATATATATATATATATATATATATATATATAGTAGCAGCGGTAGCAAGGGAAACACAAAATTAAACGGTGTAGGGTCACTAGGCGTTGGGGTTTGTTTGTTTAGAGAGAAAAAAAATATGAGGGCTGTAGACAAGTAGATCTAGAAAGGGTCCTATGTTATCCCTTTAGAGCCTATAAATGGGTGGGAAACTAAAACATGGGAAGTGCATTAGTTGGTTGTATATAGTGTTATAAACTTCTAAGAGTTATTAAAATTTAAAAATAGATGGTTTATAAGATACTAATTATGTACCCATGCAATATGAATACTTTATTTTATTGCAAATTAATGCTTCTATGTTGATTCCCTCTTGCAAATTTGAAGCTTCAAATTCGCTTGAGAAGAACCCAACCTCTCGAACCGAAGTATTTAAGGAGGATTTTTCTTGATTTGAGCTGAGTTTTCATGATTGTGGACATAAAAAGAGTATTTTTTGGAAATCGATGCTTCCATTAATCAATCCGATAATTTAGTTGCGTAGACACAAATTCATCAATGGAGAATATAATCGACCAAAAAATTAAGTCATACTCATAAACTTATGGATAAAGCATAATCTATTCTTTAAATATTCAGGAAAAGCTAGAGATTGGACATTGTACTTCCAATTTTTTTTCTTTTACTTTTGAAAAATCTACATAATTATAAAGTTATATTTGAACTTTTTTATTATTAAGTCGTTATATTATGAAAAATCTACAATTAGATTTGTCAATTCTAATTAACAATTAGCTAAGATAAAGTAATTATATTTAATACCTAGTAAATAGTTTGTTGGAATGCTTAAACTTGAAAAAGAAACCTATTGTCGTAATTTTTATAGTATGTCGAAAATTTAAATGTCCTATTATGCCCATCTTCAATTCTCGGAGCAAACCTTTTTTTGTGACACTTGGCTACAAAATACAATCCGTTGGTCATCATTTGGAAATTACGACCTAAAACCGATGGATTTTGGTAATTTTTATGGTATGTCGAAAATCTACATGTAAAATTAGACGAAAAAGTATTTCTTTTAAAATAGATCCTAATCCATAGGAAATCCGTTCGTACATTGTTTAAAAAAAATTCTTTATTTTTTGAAGGATCTTCATTGGAAATACATATTTTTTAAATTAATTTATTATAACTACTAGCAATTCGAGTGGCTAGTATCTCCATGGAAAAAGTTACCGGACATCAAAATGCATGAAAATCTCCCTTATTCCCCCATATCATGTTTCCAAAAGTAATTACCCAAACTACCCTCCAACTAACTATAAGAATCAAGACTCTAACCTTATTCCCCCATATCATGTTTTCAAAAGTAATTACCCAAACTACCCTCCAACTAACTATAAGAATCAAGACTCTAAGAGACATGAAAATAAAAACATAAAGTTGCTTCAGTTGTACACACCATTTCTGCTATTTCTATGTCCATTTCCGCATTTATATTTAGGGTTAAATGCAAGAAATAGCAATGTACTTTCATATTATTTCTTATCATATAGCATCCTAATTTCATTTTTTCCTATTACAGAATCATATTTTGAAAGATCTACCCTTTCTTCATGGAATATAAATGCTGTCAGGATATATTAACAATGAAAACTCCTTTCCAAACTAACTGAAGGACTGAAGCCTAATGAGTTCATATCAACCGACCTCCTTCCTGTTGTGTTGATCAAGATCGGTGCAATTTGATCATGGAAGGGAACTCCATTGTTACACCATAAGAAGAGAAATTAACGGACCTTGAGAATTGAGATAGATACATATGTTCACTCAGACAACTGTTTAATAGATACGCATTCAAGAAGTTTCTAGAACTGGGAGTACCTGATATGGAAAAAGAGAATAGAAGAATCTTTTTCAACAGCAAGAATATAATAAGAGTTCTTTTTCCCATTAGTCAAAATGATGCTAACTTATTGTCGATTTCAGAACTCATACAAATTTCTCCATAAAACATAATATAATTACATGGAATCTCAAAAAGGAACGCCTTGAGTGATTGAACACCAGATCCTGTGATTCGAGTTATATCATCTCCATTTTCATTGATAAAATAATTAAGTCTTAAGTCTTGTATTCAAAGTGCGTGTAATTTAAATAAAGAGCTTAAAAGAATTTCTTTTTCATTAAGCTTGCAGAGTTGCGACCAATTTCCACTCCAATTCGCAGTGTCGGTCAAAATCAAATCAATGGTCAACAATGGACCCTCTATAATAAGTATAATGTCATAGGTTTTTAAAATATATTGAATGTATTATCGTTATGGTATTATTCATTTTTAAATTAATTAAAGAAGAAAGACATACACCTCGCCTTCCATCAGCATTATTATTCTTTATATCTCCAGAAATAAAACTGTGATTTATTTAAAAAAAAATTGAGAAAACAGGAGAAACATGCTCAAATTTGGAATTACAAGTATGATGATCGGGGCATGAAGATGGAAAAAAACAGGGACATCCATGAAGTGGCCAGCCACGTGGAAGCTTAAGAACGGGTCGATTTAGAGTTTGAGTATGGTGTATGAAGCCATCTTCTACTCCTTCAAACACTGGATTCGCAGCCCCGATGTGTTTGTTGTGTTTAAGTTTGCATCGAATGGGATTTGGTCCTCATCAGTCATCAGTTAACAACCATTTAAAGAATCTTAAGGGCAAAATTGAGATTTTACCCTGCTTTAGTTAGTTACTCATTAATGAACCATATCTCGTCTTCCTCATTGCTGAACCAGTTAGTTATATAAATCACAATCCCAATTCATTTCTCTTCTCAAACACTGTAATAGCAATATTGTGTCAATTTTATTTCGTAAGAACTTGTGTTTTTTCGAGAAAGAAAGAATGGCAAACGTGAACTGGAGTTGGGATGAAAACAAAATTTTTGAAAACGCCCTCACTCTGTACCCGGAAGACGCAGAAAACAGGTGGGAGTTGATCGCAGAATTGCTTCCAGGAAAAACTGCTCAAGACGTCAAGGCTCATTACCAGAAACTGATTCAAGATTTGGAAGCCATTGAAGCCGGTTTGGTTCCATTGCCTGCGTACAGAGAATTTTCAGAGGAAGAGAAGGCGGAAGGCAAGAGGAAACTGGCCGAGAAACAAGAGGCCGCCAACTCAACGGGG